GGCGCATTACTCCCCATGAACCGCATGCCTGTATCTGTATCTGACGGATACACATGCCCTCGACTGCCTTTCCAATAAGCGCGAGCTTCGCATGTAAGCTTGTGGCAAGATTCTAGTTGGATTTCTCTCCAGCCAGGCTTTTATAGAGATGTCAGCCTTTTCCCTGTTTTTTTTACGGCTTTTAATGGTTTGACCTTTTCGAAATCGTCTTAAAAAAGAACCCTTATCGGAATTCTACGGAAAATTTGACATACGAAGAGTGTAATTCGAAAGTTTAGGTCGCAAACCGATGCGAAATCAAATCCAAGAAATCATTATCAGTAAGTTGTGTGGCTTCCTTTTGGGATCTTTTGAAATCCTTATCTGTCATTGCTTTTTCGGGGAATTAAAAATTACGAATTGTAGTAAATCTTGTTTTATTTTTTTAAAGAAAACAATAGATACACCGTTTGAAAATAAAGTCATTATACAAATCACACAAATTATATTTGCGTGCAAATCTTCAAAGAATCTTAGTTGTAGTGTTTTGAAGTTTTTTGCGTGGAGCTTTATTTATCGTCAGGAACACTTCAATGAGTTTCACCTATTCCTGATTTGACCTCCTCTATAATTCCATTGAAAATCTTCACACTTACCAATTCTTGAAAGATTCTTAGTAATCCGTTTTGCGACTTCTTCGGCAAAAAAAGCTTGCAACACTTTGGGCACTTGATGTTATTGTATTTGTCGCAGTTGTTGTTGTTGGTTACACGTAATCAAGGTAAATAAGGAGAACACGAAGCCAAAAGCGAAATCGCAAAAAAGGCAGAAAAGCAAAACAGCAACAAATGTAATGCAAAAATAGCTGGGAAACGCCGCGCACGAACCTCCAATCAGAACTGAAACGCAGAAGCTTGCGCCGCACACCACTTTTGTCCTGAGCACCGATGCGCTGTCCGAAGAGGCCCGAAGATAGCCGAGGAGATCCGAAGCCGAACCGAAAGCTTTGATCACGAAACACGAACTGAGCTGGGAATATGGAATATATGGGAATGGTAATGGAAATAGGATTGAGTCCAAGTGGGCGGTATTTTTGTCTGCCTGCTCCCCTTTTCTGCTCCCGTTTCACTTGGCTCTCTTTGGCAAAACGAAAATAAAAAAAAGCAAATGGATGTGGACGGACGAGCGGATGAAATGGAATGGCAAGAAGCGAGCGTTTGAATGGCTCCAAATGGTTAAAAGCCAAGGCAGCGCAGTCGCCAGAGGAAGAGAGTGAGAGAGAGCGACAGAGGTTCAGAGGGAGACGGGAGGAGCTTCGGGAGAGTGACATTTGGGGCCGCCGACGACGACGCCGCTGCGTTGGCGCTCTGCTCCCGCTGATAAGCTTGTGTTGAAATCAAGTCTCCTGCGCTCTCGCTCTCTTATTGGTGCTCTGCTCTCTGCTGACCTGCTGATGCACTGCATCCCCACCGCCCCACCACTGCGCTGCTGCATCAGCGTATTACGAAATATGACAACAATGCAGTTTCGTCGTCCTCGTTTTCGTTCTGTTGACGCTGCGGCTTCTTCTTCTGCCCTTGCTCTCCAGCTCTCTCTGAAAATGCCTGCTCAGCATAAAAGTCAGAATGCTCTTTCCTCTCTTCCAGAGACTTAAAGATACAGATAAAGATATAGCCAGTGGGTGGCAGTGGCTGCTGGGCTGCGCTTTGTTTGTTTTCTTCTCACCCACTCTCTATCTTTCCCTCTCTCTTTGGGGCACTTGCAAATTGATTGCATTTTAATGGAGTTCTGTCGATGCTAAAAATAGCGACTCTCCCACAGGGGGCGTGGCGGGGGAAAATCTAGCCGGGCGCATTCCAATTGGAAGTGCATATCCAGCAGCGGTAAGCGGTAACTAATTTTAAATGCCAGGCTATTACCGCAAACTGGTTTGATCACAAAAGCGTGCCAGGTATGCTTAATCTCTCTTTCTCTCTCTCCGTCGCTCTCTTTTATAACCTCCCTTTCCCACCCATTATGACCCACCGCCCCCTCGTCTTTTGTAAAACTTCTAACTGAAACCGAAATCATTCCATATTTTCCCCACAAGTTAAATAATTGTAGCCGGGGTTACCCTGGGCACTAAGAAAAATAGTTCCATACAAAAACGCAATTCTAATAAATTGTAGGAAATTTTAATTGTAAACTAAGAAGATCGTGAGTTATAATAATTTTATATAATTGTAATTCATTATTGAATCAAGGTTTTTATTTAATTTAAATCTTTCTTCTTCATTGCTTAATATTAGTATCCTTAAATTTTTTCTTTAAACTAAGATTAAGAGATTATACATTTCCTAAAATTTTACTGCATATAGAACTACACTTTATTTTTCTCCGTGCACCGTGGCACACGTAACCCACTGGTTAAGCGTTTTATGGGATCTCTGAGATCTGGGATCTCGGCAGTGGGTCGCGCTTTGGGTAACCCCCGACACAAGCCCGAACGAGGGGCGTTACCCAATCTACAACCAGAGGGGCTGGCCTGGTTATTTGTTGGCCATTTAAAGGATCATTAGACATGCATGGGAAAAGATCGTCAATCAAAGCAGGCAATACGCTGGGTTTTTGGTGTTGGATCGGGGAAATGGGAATAGTTCCCAGAGCCCCCATACTTATGATGATAAAGGATTGAGTTTGTGGAAAGATAAGATGTATCTAGGGACTAGTTATCCCCATTTCTTTGCTTTATGAGTCTGCCAAATATTATTATTATTTTCTAGTAGGATAGTTACAAAAAAACAAAGTATGTGTGATCAAGGAATAAATAAGATACAATATATTAAACGAATATTTTTTACGTTTTTTATATTTATATTATTATATTCGAACCCATTGATGTTTTAAAAGTATAAAAAATGAATGAATTTCAAAACATTACTTTATCCTTTTGTAAATGTCTATTACTTCACTATTATACTACTCATTCCCTTTTCATTTCGTTAGAATGCATTAATAATTGCAATACTGGGCATGATTCACCTGCTCAGTGATTCAGCAGGGCGATCTAAGTGCATCCAAACCTCCCCTTTTTAGTTGTACCCTCGATTGTACCCAGATAATTTGCATTGCCTTGTGAAACGGCGGCAGGTCCCCAAGGGGTTAACTGCACTCACACACATACGCACACGAGAGTAATGCAAGTACTGAGAGTACTCTCATTCGTACTTGTATCTGTCAGATACACGCTTGCCTGGCTTAGCCCTGTCGCTCTGGGCACTGCCCGCATTTTGTATTTTGTAGTTCTGGGCCCCTGCGATCAACAGGTTTGATCCGATCTGGCCGCCTGCCAGGCCATTTACTACTCGGCTTGGATTTTTTCCCGCTATTCAAAGTGCCGCACAGCTGAAATAAATTAATTGCTTAATTGTTGCTAGAGCTGATGCTGCCTTAGCGGCATTATTTGAGATGAAATTTGCTTTTAATTAAGAAACTCTCCACATATAGCGAGGGTGCGAGTTGGATTTTCTCTCAGCTAAAAGGGGACACTGGGAAAAATTCAGGAAAATTTTACTTTGTTTTATCTGAGATGGAATTATAATTAATATTTCAGATTTAATAAATTAAGGACAATGTACAAATAAATTTCCTGAAAGGAATGAAAGGAATTGCTCTAATAATCTTCCAGATCTAGTGTTATATTCTGGTAGACGGACAAGCTGACAGACAGAGAGACGGACAAGGCTATACAAGTATAAATATTTAATTTTTCTTTATGAAAAAAACTTTATTTTATAGTTACATGAATACTGATTTCACATTTAATCCTTTCCTAAGCTAAGTCTCTGTCAGGAGTTCTTTAATCGTTTCGCTCAGTGCATCTCTCTGAGCTTTTCAACCTTCAGAGCCACTGATGCCTGTGCGTGGGGGCTTTTCCTCTCGGCGCGGCCTGGGTGTGTGTGCGTGTAGAGCGGGTTGTGTGTGTGTGTTTTCGTTTTATTAGACCAAAGTCGTGCACTTCGTTAGCCAAAGGCAAAAGACAACAGCAAAGCCCAAGCCTGAGCGAGTGAAACGCGTTCTGCGTGGGATTCTCTAATGCTGATGATGAGGTTGCCAGCTATTTGGGCTTTGGCCGATTCTAAAAACTGGTTTTCCACTTGGCCAACTTGCCCATCAAGGAGTCTCCGCCACGAAACGAAACGAAATCGAATGGCAGTTGAATAATACAAGCAACAACAACAGCCACCAAATAAAAACAATAACAATAAAAAGCACAAGCAACAAAGAGTTAAATTGCGCATAACATTTGAATAATTAAGGCGCTGCCTTAGTGATATATATATTTTTCGGATTAGACCTAGCCAGCCAGGGATTCTCCCGATATTAAGTGCGTGTGTGCTCCTAAGCCCGCTTGACCTGAATTCCTCAGAGTCTTGGCTCTTTCCGGGGGAAAAGGTCCAAAAAGCAATGAAGGAAATCTTCACTTCCCCGGGTTTTTCTGAGCCAACTCTTTCGGTTTTGATTTCATAATCGAAACGAAAGCTGAGACCCTCTGAGCCGAGTTGTTGTTTCGAAATTCGTTACTCGCATTTCCAGCTTTTCCTTGGGATCCTCCTCAATCTCGGCTGCTGCTGCTGTTGCTACAAATGTATCTGTGAAATTCAGATTTCATTCGGAGTCGGCGCTGCCCTTTTCCCAGCTCTAACGGGATCCGGGCCCAGACGGAACCACTTACCAAGCGCTGCTGCAGTTATCTTTCTCTAAGTCAACTGAAAGAAAACAGAGACTATATATCTAGGAAATGTATTAGATAATTACATATTTGTCATGGAGAAACTTTAAGAACTTTTTTGGAGTTTTTGGAACATAAGCCTGGACATGTTTATGTAGCTTTTTCTTTTTAAAGTCTAAAGTATATAGTCTATGGTAATTAGTTTTTAATATTAATATGACCGTGCTGTTTTAACAATAAAATGATATATTTATCTAATTCTTTAATTTTATTTTCTTTATAATACATTAATTTACTAATTTTTTCACAGTGCCTCTGAAGCTGCCTTGATGTATTTTCTCACACTCCAGAGCCGACAAACGAGTGAGGAACGCCAGCGGGCTGATGGGGACCAGAGAAAAGCTAACTCGACAAAGGGTACTAAAGCTGGGAAAAAATAATACTGAAGAAATATAAAATGAAGGAAGAAAAATTAAGAAGGTTTTCGTCTCAGAGCAGCATCTTCACTTGCTTTTCATTTCTTTTTTTCAGAAGTTATGTTCTAACGGTAGAATCTTTATGAATTTAGGAAGGCTTAAAATAGATTTCTGCTTATTTGTTGTATAATAAATATGGCTTGTAATTTATTTTTAAGGATCATAATATCATAATATCTTAATAAATCTTTGGAAATTCTTAAAATTTTTAAGTCTCTTCTAGGTTTTTCTTCTAATAAATAAAGTTTAAAAATGATTTATTCAGGATTCTGTGAAGCTCAAGCTTTTAATTTTTAATAAAGAAGTTAAAATGAAAGTTTGATGATTTAAAATACTTTATCTTTTAGTGTTTAATGTGTCAAACCTGCGGATTTGTTAATTGGAAAAAACTACTCCTATACCAAGCTTAACTTGTGAAGTAAAAATGATTATAATTCCCATTAAAGATCTGTTAGATTCACCTCCACACCGATTCCACTATCCACTTGAATCTCTTGTGCCGAGGGAACCATCGAGAACTGGCGAGGCTGTGGAGAACCGAAGACACCACTAACCGGCGGCGGCAACAATCATAATTACGAGGTTAACCTTAAGAGTTGACACAAATCCGGGCCAGAGCCAAAAGCGAGCTGCGAGGCGGCCTCTGTCACTCGTTCCCAGCAATTAACTTCGAATGACACCAAATGCCACCGAGGCACGCCACCAGTCTACCAGCCTCGCCAGCTCACCGGCTCTAGTCGGCTCTAGTATCCACATCCATCCACCGAGGCGGATCCAGAGGAGCCGCGCCGCTCCATGCTTCATGCCGCCCACCAGCGGATCGGATTGGATCGGTACGGATCGGATCGGGTCGCAATTGCAAGTGAACGGCAACTTTGATGCCGCCCACAAGGCGACAAAGTTGTTATACCCTATCGCCGGAATAGGGTATATTTCTTAGGAAGACTAAGCATGGGGTGTTTTTAAAGAGAGTTTTATTGGTAATAAAGCGAAAAAATTAATAACTATTCAAAAATTAAATAAATGTGTTTCTTAATATTTTGTAATATTCAAATAATAATAAACTTGGGATTTTCCATTAATAAAAGATCTTAAAAAATTAAATTTTGTATCTTTTAAATATAAAACCGCCTTTAAAAAGCAAGAAGAATTGTTTGAGCATAAGATATTCATATGCGTCACATGATATGTTTTTGTAAGCTCCAGAAAACGACGTTGAAACCTTTTTTTTTTTTTTTAATTAAGGTAAAGTTCATTAAACAACGTTTAAATTTCCTAAAATTTTTTAAGGGCATTACAAGTTTCGTGGCATAAGTTGTAATGCTTTCCTGATTTGTTGTTATTTAGTTGTTGCTGCTGATGTTGTTGATGTTGCTGATGATCTGAGGAGTTGCTGGCTTTGGGCATGGGCAGTTTTGCGGTTTTTTTGATCGGCGTTCGAGCTAGCATTCCATTGATTTGTACGTAGGACTTGTTTGGACAGACACAGACAAGAGATAGGGAGCGACAGAGGGAGCGAGAGAGAGGGAGCTGGGAAGTCTTACAATTTTGTAATGATTGAAAGAGATGTATCTCACAGATACACCGAGGCTCGTTCCCTTGTGAAGTGCAATTGAAACACTGTGTGAATATTTTTTTCAGCTCGAAGCTTTTCTTTATCCATGTATGCATACATGTCTCTCTCTTTAGAAGTGTTCAGCTTTGTATATATAGTATATATAATGCCTGGGAGTTTATAACTTTATAAATTGCAGGGGGAGAAAAGTTTTGAATTTTAGAGTTTTATTCATGTAAAAAAGTGACTTTTAAAGAATTTGCTAAGGTGATGTTATTTTTAATTAAATTCCTAATACATTTTTTACTGATCTTGTTAGTATTTTTTCTGCAGTGCACCAATGCTAGTACTATTCCCAACCTCCCCCTAAAAAAGACCCACGATCTTCGTGGCTCATTCAATTCAAATACTCACAGCTCGTGATTTCGTAAGCCCGCTTTGTTGCTTTTTGCCCCGCTGGGAGCTGTGTTGATGTTGCTGCGGGGTCTTAGCTGATGTTGGACTTTAGCTGCAGCGGATTCGAGGCCACCAAGAGACGACTTCGACGACGACGACGACGACTGCAAGTGCGACTTTGGCTGCAGTTAGACGTCAAGACATTTCTGCAGCATTTTTCTCCGTCTCTGCCTCCATCTCCATCTCCACCTCGATCTACGTCTGCGTTTTGTTTCTTTTTGTGTGGCGTGATGACCTTGAGCCGCTCATTTCAGCCAAGTGGCTCTGTGTGTTGGCCAAGTGGCTGTGCCAGCGTGTGTGTGGTTGGTTTGCTGTTACCCAGTTCCAGTTACTTTTGGCAGCACACTCCGCCCAAGCATTTTTATCTTTCTTCTCAGAGAACCTCTAAGAACCTGTTAGCGGAAAAACTAGGTGTTTTCACCACCCTTTGCTATTATAATGGGGTAAATAATTTTTTTTTTTAATATTTCTGAATTTCTTAAATTACACTCTGACCAAAGCAACACCTCATACATTTGTCAATAAATTTCGAAAGTTAAAACAAAAATAAAAACAAAATTTTAGTTTAAAATTTCGAATCCCAACAAGCCCATGGCGGGGATGAGGCACGAAGTACTCCTGGTCCTGGGTTCCCTGGTTATTGTAAGTTCACTTTTTATGTTACATGTCCCTTGATTTATTCTACCATATATCCAGGTAATGGGCATGGGCGCGACAGCTAAACTCTATGGCTCCTTTAATACCACCGAAAAAGCGTCGACGAAATTCACAATAGACAGGTTTAGACTCGATGAAGACGATATCAAAATTTTCGAAGACGGATTGGAGAATATGAACTTTAACGAGGGAGTCGTGGAGGGCGACGGAGGCTGTGCTAAAATTCCCGGGGAACAGACTACAATCGCAGGAGCAGCTCAGCTATGGGCCTCTGCTTGGGTCATCTTCCTTTCGATCTGTCTTAGGGCAAAGCGGCTTCTTTTCTCATTTATTATAAATTGTTGTTTTTGAAATGTACTAAAATTTTCTTTTCAATTGACTAGAAATTTGTTGAGGTTTTACAATATTTGTATGAGTATATCTACATATTCCTAGGGTTCCTATGGCACCTACATATGTGTATAGTATATCTAAGTATAAAGGTGAAATATGTAAATAGTTTTCTGTTAGATTATCGACTAGAAGCTAAAATAATATTACTTGAAAATCTAAGCAAATTAAGAAAAATTGTAAACAATTTAAAGGTGGACACTAACATTGAACTTTATTCACTAAATAAATTCTATTTTTTTTCGTTGTAAACTTTTCTATATTTATTTTATAATGTTTCAGTTTTTATACCCTTGCAGGGTATTATAATTTCAGTCAGAAGTTTGCAAAGCAGTGAAGGAGACCTTTCCGACCCTATAAAGTATATATATTCTTGATCAGCATCAACAGCCGAGTCGATCTAGCCATGTCCGTCTGTCCGTCTGTCCGTCTGTCCGTCTGTCCACCTGTCCGTTTCTACGCAAACTAGTCCCTCAGTTTTAAAGCTTTCTGAATGAAACTTTGTGTATATTCTTCTATATACTCTCACTGCTATATATGTCGTAACGGGCCGGATCGGACGACTATATCATATAGCTGCCATACAAATGTTCGATATATTTTTAGAAAAAAAATTATAACTTAGCTGTTTTTCAACATTTTTGCACCATTTTTTAGATATGACCATTTTATATTATTTCTGAATTTTGGTAAAAGTTTTATGAAAATCAGACGACTATATGGTAAATCTGCCATAGAGGTTTACGCCGATGGTTAAAGGCATCGGCGGCGGCGTAGAGGTCAAAATGACTCGGCGGCGGCGGCGTAGTAGTCAGAAAGAACCGGCGGCGGCGGCGCGTCAAATAAGGCAAAAGGCCATTTTAATGAGTTATTTATTTTTTTTAAGTTTTATAAAGAACAATGACACTGAAGGCCGCGCTGAAGCTGCGCCGATGCCGCACCAGCGGCGCGCCGCGGCGCGCCGTTATTTTCATAATTTGGCGGCGGCGCGTCAAATAAGGCAAAAATCGGCGGCGGCGGCGGCGGCGGGCGGCGTATATGTCTAATCTGCCATAGGAACGATCGGAAAATTAATAGACAAAAATTTATAGATTCGTTGTTTTTCAACGTATTTTTATCTACTCTGAGATATAAGCTTATTTTATTATTCTAGAATTTTGGTATCAATTTCATAAAAATCGGACAACTATATCATATAGCTGCCATAGAAACGATCGGTAGATGTAGGGAAAATGTAAAGCTGGAAATGCAAAACTGTAACTGTCAAACTGTAAACATAATAAGTATAGGTAAAATGTAATGAAATAATATCTGCAAGGGTATACAAACTTCGGCGTGCCGAAGTTAGCTTCCTTTCTTGTTTATATGTTAAAATTGTGTTTACAATTTTTGGATAAACTTTTCTAAATTCATTATACAATTTGGACTTCAGTTTTTTAAATCTTTAGTGGATTATTTAGCGGTTCTATCGATTTTCTTTCCATAGTCGGGTCCGAAAATAACCCATATTTTGTGAACTTATTGTGAAACGGAACCCAAGTCTTGCCTTTTAGGGTATATATATCTCTTAAGAAGTTATCCAATATATTTCCAATGGTCAAAGGGAAAAGAAACTCAGCGATCTGTCTTTTTGCTGCCTCAGTTTTTGTGTTTTTTTTTCGCTCTGTGTGTGTATCTGCTGCTGTGCGTTTTCTGCGACAATGATGACCCAATTAACCAGGGGGTTCTTGAGCAGCACAACACATCCATGCAGAGACCTCCAGGGCTGACATGGGGAAGAGCAGGGCATGGGGAAGGGGCAGTGGCACAGGCACGGGCACTCCACCTGGGGGCCGGTTCACATTTACTGAGTTAGCAAGAAATGCCGCGAATGTTGCAACAACAGCAGATATATATAGCAAAGCGAATTTCGCGAATAATTGGAGCAGTTAGCCAATGCTCACGTTCTGGGCAAGGTAACACTTGGCCAAGGTAAAGACCGATCCGTTGATAATGCCATATGTGAGCCAAAAAAAGAAAAAGTGACGAGCCGAGAAGGGAAAGTACAAGAGTACACTCGCCGCGGAATCGATACAGTGCCTCCTTATCGGGAGGAAGGCTGGGAATGAGTCCTGTTGCCGATAAGTCGCCCCTGATAAACGGATCAATAATTCCTGATAAGCGTCCTGCGGAGGCAAACCAGACCCCAGGGCTTATCTTTGCCAGGTCCCCGAACAGGCAGGAACTGTTATCTGCACTGGAAGAAAGCAGGGAGAATCAGAGTAATAGAGTTTTCCTGAGGTAAAGTCAATTATAAGTGAAAAACTATCTTATATTAAAGATTATTTAATTTAAAAAAATATTTGCTATTTTCAAGGGATTTTCCTTAAGTTATGTTATAAAAAAATGCATATAATTGTTTCAAAAAAATATATTAAAATCTAAAAGTAGCTTTCAATAACCATTTCTGCCAGCTGCCACAGGACATAGCCTATTGCTGAGACCAGCAAGGCACAGCAAACATAGTGTTGAATCTTCAGCCTGTAAAGAAAAGGAACTCTTTAATCCCTAAGGAAAATTTTCCAAATTAATTCGCCAATTACCCACCGCTTTTTGAGCCTTAAACCCTTGCCATAAGACTCAGCTGTAGGCAGATCCTTGGCTACGTATAGACGCATTCCTTCTATGACGCACCGGAAGTAGTCCTGCCAGTCTAGCTCACCCATGTCAAAATCGTACAGTTGGCGATCCTGCTCACACATGGCATCAATTAAATCCCGAGTGTTGTCCATGCGAAAGTTCCAGGAATAATTACAAAATGGAGCCAGTTCGGAAATGTTCTTATGGATCCTTTCGTATAGATTCAGCAGGACAGACTCACGCCACTGCAGGCGCAGCAAGGTATCCAGGCAGTAGCCCGGCAGAATGTGTAGGAAAAAGGTGGCCAGTTGGTAGAAAAATCCAGAAGAGAAGCACAGAAGGAAGGGATACCACATCATTTTTGTGGGGGGAATACGATCGCGTTGGGAAAGAGAGCAATCCATCAAGGTCCCAAAACTCAAAGGGTTTTCCTGGCTGGGAGCCAGGGTGTAAATGGTAGGGGATTTTCCTTGTTCTCGTAGGTTTTTAGCAGTTTTCCAGGCACAACCCAGGACCATGCTGGCGCTGAAATCCGCTGGCACTGCAGCAAAGTGGGCACGGCGATCCGCCTGCGTTACGCGCATCACTCCTCCCAGAATGGGCACCAGGAGGCCCAAGAGCCCGGAGACATGGCCTGTCCAGCCTATCAAAGGCTCTTTGTAGGTGGACATTACTGGGAAGAAGGATAGCTTTAGTTATATACAATCCCTTTTTATCAAAGACTTACTAAACCCTGATCGAAGGACACACAACGGCAAGCCATCTGCCTCTCTCTGGATCACATCCTCTGCCAAAGCCTTTGTGTAGAGGCAGGTGTTGGAAAAGGATCCCACCAGGACTGTGGTTAGCTTGTCCAGCAGCTCATCGCCAAGCAGGTCAGCCACAGCCAGAATCCGGTCCGAACTGCAGCTCAAGTGTTCGGGATAAAACCTCTCCTCGACAGGACACTTTAGTAACTGGGAGTAGGCACTGGACACGTGGACAAAGGACACGAGATGGATCATTTGCTTGGCCAACTCTAGCATCCTCCGGGTGGCACGCACATTGGTGGCTAGAGCCATGTGAAGGGCTTCATCGGGTCGAATAACAGCAGCACTATGGATAACCACCTGCACTTGGGAGATCAGAAGCCTTTGGTCTGATTTACTGATGACCAGATCCTGCTGTAAGCAATCCCCAGCGATGGGAGTAACTTTTTCCAGAGCCTCTGGTTTCATTCTCAGCAGCTCCGCGAAAACCTTTTGTAATTTTGGAGAAGGACTGTTAACCAGCTTTTAGATCTTTGGTGTTCACTCACAGGATCCTTCCGCCAGCTTAAAAGGCGTTCTGTTATGGAGAGACCCCGCTTGGCTCTGAACAGTGCGTAGATCCTCTCAAGCTCCGTTGTTCGCAGGAGTTTTTCAATAATAACTTCGATGAGTGGTTAAAAAAATGAGCTAAGGTAATAAAATAATAAAAGAATAATAATAATTATCCAATTACCTCTTCCCAAAAAACCTGTGCCTCCTGTTAGGAAAATTGTTTTCTTTTTAAAGAATTCCTGGATTTCAGAGGGCATCTTGTAAAGAAAAGAGACTGTTTGCACGGAAAAGACTTTCCAAACTGTGGTCGCTTTTCTTTTCACTTGGCGAGTGAAACCTTACAAGTTTTTCGCGGTTTAGAGATGGGATTTTATAAAAACTTATTTGGCGGAAATTTAAATTTATATTTTAGAAATTAAAAAAGGTATTTAAAATGTTGTTATCTTAAAAATTAAGTTCATATAGCTTTTGATTTGTAAAATAATTCATGAAGTAGAATATAAATATATTAAGGCTATATGTTAGTTATCATAGTCATAGTAAGATAAATTACAAAGTATACAAATTCTTATCAATTGTTAAAAATAATAATTATAATATAATAAATAAATTAAAGAAAAAGATTTATAGATCCTATCTTAAGGAACTTTTCTAATCTTGTAGTATTGTTTAAAATAAAACCCTTTTAAAGACTGTTTTAGGCACCAAATATCAAGCATGTAACTTTAACTATTGTAATCTTAGTATATCTTAAGTTTATTAACAGATTCCCAATTTTTCTCGCAGTGTACTCTCAAAGGCAATTATATTTGCTGTATTCACACATCCTGGCACATCTAGGGAAATTACTGATATGAGGGAACCATAAAAAAAAAACAAATAGATATGGTTGGGGGTTGTCGTTAAATATTTGAATCGATAAACGGAGTGTCCTCAAAAGGAACACTTGCTCCATTATCAGTGGGTTTTCCGGGGGCGTTGACCATCAGGGCCTGCCCTCGTGGACTCTTATCAGTCGGGCTGGGGAGCCAGCGGCACACACAAGTCTGGGACATTGTCCGGCGATGACTTTAAAATCCTCCCGGACGTCTGAGGGGCGGAAGACCCGCAGAGGCTTATCACTAGTAAATAATACAAGGAAATGCCAGCGGGGTAAGCCGAGGAAAGGAATGGAAAGCGGACAGCAGCAGAGTTTTTCCTAAGGCCGCAAGGGAAATGTAGGAGAGAAAAACACAACGTGCGATAGGCTAAGGGGCAAATGAGCAGCGGCAACAGCAGGAAAATGCAGAGGAAAAACAAACCCATGGAATGGGAGTCAATGCCAGGAGTTGAGTGCACTGAAAAAAATGTATGTAAATATGTTAAAAAGGGAGAGGAAGTCTGACAAAAAAAGCACATTCAATATCATATTGAAAATATTCTAGAGATGAGCAAATCAATATTTAAATTACCAAAAAATATAGAGTTTAATTTTAATTAATTAACTCATAGACCAAATAAACTTATTATAAACTTATCTTACGAATTTCCATATTTTTAATCTCCAAGAAAATTCCAACAGTGTAGCCAAGTTCAGTGGGGCTGGCCTGGCTGGCGAGGACCGATGGTGAAGTGGACAAGTGATAAAGCAAGGAGAAGGCAAAAGAGTGCCGCGTAGAATCCATTAGCAGTCGCTCGGAACGGAACGGAGTGGAGAAGGGCAACTCTCGGGGAAATATAGGAAAAATAGGAAAATGGGGAAATGGTTGTCTAGGCAGAGAGGAGAGCAGAGAAGAGGAGACAGCAAAAAGTGCATGTGAATGGAAATGGAAATGGGTGCATGTGGTGGAGCCCAAGTGGCAAAACCAAGTGCATCCCGGACTCCCATTCCCATTACTCCGCCTGCTGCGTCTCCTATTTTCCTCATTATCCGCTCTCTCTCTCTCTCTCTCTCTCTCTCTCTTCGCCTCTCTTTTTGGCATTATCCCGATGTCTCTTTCCACGCGAAGAAAGGGTTCAATGCTCGATTTCTTCTTGGTCCCAGTTGTTGCCATGGGAAAACGGAAAACGGCAACTGGCGGGAAAAACTCTTTAGGCAAATGACCCTCTTCTCGGGCAGGATCAACCCCCTTTTCACTCCGCAATTACGTTCAATTAAAAACTCGTCCAAACTTTCAGTATTTCGGGAATTCTGCGGGTAAAGGATCCCCCTTCCCATTCCCGAATTGATTGCCTTAATTGAGCGGATTCAATTGATGCAGTTCCTCCACCCAAAAGTAGTCGTAATCACTAGACAACACGCGCCTGTCTTCGGTCGACTTACCGAAATTATGCAGGGTCGCGGATGCTACCGTTTTGGGTGAAGGGAGTCCTCGATGAGGGCAAGATCGATATGCCTGGGAAAGGAATTGGTTTCGAAAAGGCCTCAATAAGAGTCCTTGATATGCGAAATATTATTTAAAGGTGAATTTTATTACGAGCTCTTAGGATTTTATTTTGTGAGAAAATTCTCTGAAAAGTTTAAAAAATAATTATTATTGTTATATATATTATGTTTAGTGTTTAACATATTTTAATTGACTTTTTTCAGATATTTTAATCATATAAAACACGTTATTATTATTTTATTAATTATAATATATTCTTATATTCAATATAGACTGCCTTCAAATATTATTTAATTTCTTATTAGCTGCAAAGAAATTTAAATATTCTCAGTATAAAGTTCAAATTTTTTAAAGCAAACATTTTTCAAAAAACTGATTTTCTGATTTAAAAATACATATAAAATATTACATTATATATTATATTTTTATTATATTAAATTTATATATAATGTATTATAAACTTTTTTTAATATTTAAAAGCAATTAAAACCCAAAATTGAATTCCCTCTCTTTTACAGAAGCATTTCCTATGCCTAAATTCACATTTTACAAAATATATATACAACCAATTCCTGATGAATAAAAGATTAACCCTATGGGTAAATGGTTAATCGCTCCTCAATTTGTTCATCTAATTATAAACAGTCAGTCTAGGCCGCCATCATGTGGAGGTGATCCTACGATCGGAGTTCAGTGATCCCAGGACAAGAGAAAAACCTGAAGGAAAACTCGAAAATAACAAAGAAAACGAAGCAAACAAAGGCAGGGAGATGGGATAAACGAAACCCGAAGATAGGATAGAACACTGAAAAGGAAAGGCGGAGAGTCCCAAAGTCAATGAATAGGAAGTCTATCAGAGGACAATGAGGCTGCATGGGAATTAATGAAGCTGCCCAGCAAGGACACTCGCCGCTCACGTGGGTTGAATTCTGATCCTCGAGATGTGCGTGCTGCGATACGCGTGTGTTCCGAGAATAGCAAACAGGACACGCCCATGAACACCTCCTTTTTTTCTGGGGAATACGATCCTGAAGGAATCTTAATCCTGCCTCTAGGATTTCTGGTGTTGGGTGTTGAGTAATTTGTGCGCTGCTGCTGCGATAAAAATCTGTTAAGCGGTTAACAAACATAAACAAAAGGTCAGCAGGGGTTGAAAATATTAGAAAACGGCACTTAGAAAAATATGGGGTATGTTTTGGAAGTGAAAATAAATATATTTTGCCAAGGTTTTTATATAAAAGATAAATTTAATAAAAGGATTTAATGGTTAATAATTATATACAACTTTTAAGCATGTTAATCAGTATCCCAACTAATTTGGGAATTATAGTTCAAGCTCTAAGTAATTAAAAAAAACCCACAATAATACTTAGCTATATTTAACTAAATTTTCTAAATATATTTTATAAATGATTAAACATGAAATAAATACTTTTTATATTGTATAAAATCAAACAAGTATCTTGTAAATTAAAACAACCAACTTATAATAATTTTTCCCAGTGTTCTCCCTAACTTAAACCTTGGTGCGCGGGGGTGCGATCGGTAGCCGCTCCTTCTGGTCGAATGCAGGCGTTCTATTTTCGTGGCACTTAAGGCTTTATGTGGGTCCTTTCTGCAGGGCTGTGCTTCCCCTAATCACATTTTTGGGGGTAACTTCGGTGGCTATTTCTGTGCTCCTGCATGGCCGTGTCAATCTTCATTGCGTCTGCTCACCACCAGCATATTGCCAGCATCAGTTCCTTATGCCAGGACTCTGAGCGGGATTGAAAGTTCCCACATGGGCAATAAATCAATAAAATCACTTAACTTTTGCCTTGAATAATTTGATTCGAGAAGGGATAAAATTAAAGAAAAATCAAAAGAAAACTCCACAAACAGAACTCGATATTTTCCCTTTTCTATTTTTATGCAAAAATCAATCTTAGGAGCGAATTCCTGTTCCTTTGTCTATCCACAAGTTGCCGACAGATACACAACAAATTGCATTTTTATCTATTTTCTATTTTTACTTGGAAAATGCCAGCCTCGCAGCGCGGAGGATTATAAGGCGCATCATCGACGAAGACAACGAGGAGGCAGGCGGTTTCCTTCCTGCCTCAGCTTCTGCTTCTGACTTTGCCGCTGTAATAATAAAACCGATCCCCAGTCCCGGGTCCCTGTTTTCTCTGCCTGCCTGCCTGCGCCTGTAGGCTGTAGGATGCGACAAGAAAAGCAGGAAAAACTCCTTGGCTCGCGCACACATACCTAGACACAGAGAGTTCCACACAGAGCAGTCGTTGTCCTATCCCAAAGACCGGAGATGGCTCTCCCCAAGTGAGTAAGAGCTGTTAGTGTGGACTTTTTCCCGATAGATTTGTGTATCGGAAGAGTATGGGAAAATAATTGCTCCTAAAGCCCTAGTAAAATAATTCTAATAATTTGCTTTGATCTGTAAAATCATTATTATATAACCTATACTTAAATGTATGATTATTTAACTAATTATATAATGTTAAAGATTTTTAGCAACGAAAAATTCCTGGATACTTATTCATTCATGATAATTTATCTATTTTTCATATATTTTCCTATGTAATAATATTGATTCTCCTATGAAATCTATTAAATATCTTATCTCCCTCTAAGCTACTATTTATCCTTTGTTGGCCTAGCATCTCCGCCGCCTTTTGTTTGTATTTGTGTGTTTGAGAGAAGCTGCTTGGGCTGGGAGCCAGAGGGAGTTCAATGAACTGACGTCACCTCTTGGGGCAGTAGCGCATCGCCTAGTCCTCTGCCTCTGTCGACGCCGACTGCGAGTGAGGAACACAATCCTTTTTCTTTGGACTTTCCACGCTGCACGCTGCTGCACCCTTCACTTGATCTCTGGTGATCTTGCCTGCGATCTCCGCCCAGCTGGATGCTGGCTGCCG